GTTTTAATTCTGAATTATGTCTTCCCTTTTTCCTTCATTGTCTCTTCTGAATTGATACAGGTTCTTAGAATAATTTGTATCTTGGATTTCCCAAGCTTTCATGAGTCCCTTTTGTTACATGTAAACGTGGAGTATATGAATTCATAGAGTATAACAAGACATGTATCTGATGAAAAAGTGCAGGTGAAATTAATGATAAATGTAGTCTTTAAAGTATCTTTTGTATGAATGTAATGTCAGAGCCAGAGATGATTGAAGTCAGTAGAAAACACTGTCATTCAGGGACTAGGGTTTTTTCCTACAATGTTTTAAAGGAAAATTTATTTCTTTATTTTTAAACATTAAATTGCTTTTACCAAACTGTAGTCTAAAAGACATATTGAAAATTAATTTCTGCTTTTCACAAGTATTCTTCCAAAAATTATAGGATTTCCAAAGTAAGTGAAGTGAGGTTGTTGACAGCTCTAACTTGTTTTATTATTATTGAAAAACTGCAAGATTTGAATAGCAGAATACCTGATGTGATAAACTTCTCTGTGAAACAGATATACAAACACTAGATTATAAAATATTAAGAAGCATTACAGTACAATGGAAAATACAAAAAAGAATATTTTTTATATTGTAAGATCCCACTGATTTTATGCTGAAAATTATTGTATTTTTTTAAAGTCTATTTTGACACGAAAAAGCATGCAGCATGGCTTTTAGTAATGCTGTGTGGAAAACCTGAGCATCTTTTCAATAATATGCATGTTTTATCTGTACATTATTGACTTTGGATTGAGTTACACATTTGAAATGTCTGAATCTCTTTTGGACTCTGACTATGGGATGACTTTACGTTGTTAATATAGATGTCATAATGAGTTTTGAAACATTAAATACTGACACTGAAGGAGGAAATTTGACTGAATTAGGAAATAAAACTTGTTAACCATGTTTATGTTAGGTTTAAGCCATTTCCAAATGGTGTAAGGAAAAATTTAACATTGTCATTACATTTAAATAATAGTCATTGTAGTGTAATGCTGTTGAACTCTCTTACCAGCTGAGAGTTAATTTTTCCAGTTACAGTAACAAAAATAATCAAATGTCTTATTTCTGCTGACAGGTTTCAGACTTCTCCTCTTCCATCTCTGCCACAGCGTCTTAAGACTTGCAAAGTCCTTGCCTTACAGATGACTTCGTTGTCTCAAGCAATGAGGCTATGAGAGACCACTCCTCTTTAATTGGATGGTGGAATTGGAATTCATCTTAAAATGAGAGCATTTCAGAGGAAAGAAAAAGTAATGAAACCAATGGCAAAGAAGACATAGAGAGAATGACAAGAAATTAAATGATGAGTAATCCTTAAAAATTAAGCAGTGTAACTTCCTCTAAGATTGCACAGTATCTTTTTCCCCTTTTTTACAATCTTGATAGAACATACTACAGTTGACAATCAGGAGCAAGAAACTCCTTGGAGGCCAAGTCTTTGAGTGCTGAAAATGACCTTACTGAGGGGCTAATGGAAAGAAAGCTAAAAAATCCTGTGGTGGATGAGTACTTTTGGAGATTTACCACTTTTCAGTTCTGCTAGGTCAATTTCAGAACCATCAGTTAAACCATAGGTCGTGCTTAATGGAAAGTTTTGATGATCTTGTACTTTAGCACAAACATAGTGTAATATTTCTTCAAAAGTCTTTAATTCACCTACATATCTCGGACAGAAAACTGTCTGAGAGAAGGTCTTATTGGTCACAAACAATAATGCCCTTCAGACTTTTGTTAATGTTCATTTGCGAGGAGTGTTTGTAAAGCTCAATCAATGAAGACTGCATTAGGTGAGACACTGAAGGGATTAGGGGAACAGAGAGAAGTATGTATAGCACAGCTTATCTGGGAGGAAAAAAGCAGCTTAGTACTGCTGATGTACTTTTTCCACTCTCCAGAAGTTGTTTGAGACCAATAGCTGTGGACAGAAGTTCAACGAGAGGCCAACATTTTGGAAATGTGCCTCAGTGGAAGAACTCAGGTCCACTCAACCTGATTGCATTACAAGTGACTTTCTGGAAGGTAAGCTGAGCACTGTTTCCTGCATTGTGTTCTGGGAGGATGGAGCTTCTTATTTCATTGCTTAACACTGCATCTAGAATATGCAGAAGCTAAATTTAGCAATGCCAATTTGAACTCTTGGGTTTGGCTTGTTTGGTGTTTTTTATTGACAAGAAAGAAAAACAGGGTAAAAATGTGTACCTTTAAAATAGTATTGCATTTGTAAAATCATCGTCTATTTTATAAACAATTTATTGAATTTCTGAAAATGCCATATTCTTCTCCAAAGGCAAAATTTAGAATATTTTGTTCAGCAAAAATAAATTGCACACTTGTAGTACGTTTTGCATTTTGTGATTGCATTGAGGGAACATCTGTTCTGTGTGGACTATTCAAATTTTTTAGATGTCCTGTTAAAATCTTAGAGACTCTGAAGCATGTTATTCTTGAGCCAAAGAATGGGGTGAGGAAGGAAGGACTCATTGCCTCTTTTAGTCATGTTACTGTCCAGTGGCACTTGGGAAAAGTGTGTCTTGATATAAAGTCACTGAATATGTGGAAGAGGCATTACTTTAATGTAAGGAAACTGATGGACAGGCAAATCCTTTCAAAAGTTGCATACTCTTCTGGCAGCATGGAGGATAAAGTAAAGTGCTAATACAAGAAAAAAGGAAAGAAAGAGTTTTAGACTGCCATTTTACATTTAAGCAAAATTTGTTATACTAACTGCTTTTGTGATAGAAGTCCATAGTTTAAAAAAAAAAAAAAAAAAAAAAAGAACAAGTACATGCACAGCACAACAGAACATAGTATCTATAAACTTCCTATTACCTCTGTCAAAACCTATGCTCTTCAGCCAGGGAAAGACAAACAGGAATCCAGGAAGATCCCCAAGGTTCTAAAAAGGCTCCTGTAGCTACAGTCACATCTGTACTGGGAAATTCTGCCAGTAAACAGGTAACAACAGCAGGTGCTGATCTATCTGTTGTATTTGATTTATCTCCTTGTTAAAAATATCCTCCTCAAGAAAAATTCTGTCAGGAGATTTCTGTGTCTCCCATACCTTCACCTGGTTCACTGTCAGGTAGAAACATTTGACCTGAAAAATTCAGGGTGTTCTAATCCAAGGAGATATAGCTCCTTTTCCTGTTACAGTCTTATCCCATATCATCTAGGCCTTTCCTCCTGTGGTCCCCTGTGACTTCCCTTTGCCTTCACTGTTCTCTCAAAGGTAGATCCTGTGCAGCTCAAAGTGTTCCCATCTCCATTTTAGAAACAAGATGTGTGATTTCTACAGCATTTCCATTACTAAACCATATATATTTGCTTGGGAATGAGAAACTTGAAGATGGAGAAAACCTGCAACTGTTTCAGGTCCTATCAGACACTTGGCTACTCCTGCACACTATGAACTGGTGCTTCTAAATTTTTGAAAAACAGCTTGGCAGTATTAGGAAGTATTAACAATGTAATTACCTGTGTATGTGCCAATCTTTCAAGTGTGAGCTTGCCTCATCTGAGACTCCTAAGGATGGAAACACTAAAAGGTGTAAGGGAAACTGGAGACTCTGTACTGGTATGTGTCAGTGCCCAAGTGGTTTCAACTGGGATGAGAGTTGTGCAGATGGAGATACTGAGTCCTATAGAAAGGTGTTTCTAAACAATGCAGAAAATGCTAGAAAACAAGAGCATCCCAAGGCACAGGACGTGTGTTTATGGATATATTCAGCATGTCAATGCCTAATGCCGTTTGTGTGTACAAAGTATTTTTGCGAGTACAAGTGAAGCACTGAGAAATCTGGCTGATAATAATACTGCCTTTATGGGCCTTGTCTACTGTTCCACAAATGGGGAATATGATATTGCTATAAAGAAAAAAAAGATTAAAAGGTTAAGTGGAAAGAATAAATATAAAGCTGAGAGCGAGCTGCTCCTTCAACAGTTAGACGGAAGTTACCAAATCCTTTCACTTAGTGTGCTTGACTGAGGGAGACTTAAAAGAATGCTTTAGAGAGCCAGGCATCCCTCATATATTGTGATGCAGCTCTAGCAGAGTCAAAAATGGGTAATCATTGTAATTGTTTGCTGTACTTGGCTCAAGCATGCATAGTAAATGATTTGCAAAAGCCCATTTTAAATTAGAGTTCTGATGCAGTATATCAATAGACACAATAACATTGCCCAGGCACATTAACAGTCAAAGCTTAGGAAAAGTAGTCTTACATAAATTTTGTATTTAAAAAAAATTTTCTGTGAGCTTTTTGCTTAACCTTATACTATATTTGAACACAGTCCCATTTTCTAAATGGTAGAGCTAGTGATCTGACTGTTGTCTCGGTTGAGGTGGATGGCTTTGCTGCTTTGAAATATATTTCCTAGGCAGCTAAAGTGTAAACATTTCCACAGATGTGGAGGTTTTGTGGGTGTCTTTGCAGAACTTGTCTTTGCTGTCTGAAAATTACAAACCATCCTGGTGCCCTTCTCATTACATCTCTGGGCTGGGCTTCTTCAGGAATAATTTTTTTTGATCTTGCCTCCTTTGCTATGTCAGAATTATGACCTGTACATAAATTTTCCTTTTGTATTCCTGAAAGTGGATTTATTATTAACAATTACAGTAATTTCATCACTATAAGGCACACCCTTTTGACTAAAATTTTGGTCCAAACCCAGAAGTGCGCCTTTTAGTCCGGTGTGCCTTATATAATGTACAAAGTTCAGAAATTTGCCAACCTGAAAGTGTGAGCCGTGAGCTGAGCTGCGAGGGGAGGCGGTGCTATGGGAGTGCCAAGCCGCTAGGAGGGGTGGGACCGGGCAGCCCCCGGCCAGCAGGAGCCACGCAGGGTGGGTGGGACCGGGCAGCTGCAGGCAGCCCTTGGCCAGCAGGAGTTGCACGTGGAAGGAGGGGGTGGGCAGCCCCGAGCCGCCCTGAGCCGTGGGCAGTCCCGAGCCATGGGCAGCCCCGAGCCGCGGGCAGCCCCGAACCGCCCTGAAACATGGGTAGCCCCGAGCCACCCTGAACTGCCCTGAGCCATGGTGGCCCTGAGCTGCCCTGAACTGCAGCAACCCTGAGGTGTGAGCTGTGGCTGCCCCGAGCTGTGGCAGCCCCAAGCTGCCATGAACCACGGCAGCCACGAGCCACCATGAGCCACGGCCGCCCCAAGTCCCACCTTGCCAGTCAGGGCCAGGCGGGAGTGCCGGGGCCCGCGCACAGGGAGGATACTTGGGGCTGCGTTTAAAGGCTACGCCAATCTGTGAAAAATGTTTGCAAATAGAGCACCTGCCAGTAAACTCCACGATCACCAGGATTCCGTTACTAATTCATTACTTTGTTGTGCGCGGCACGGATCTTCGCTGAAAAAAAAAGTGCGTCTTATAGTCCAGTGCGCCTTATATAATGTACAAAGTTGCGAAATTTGCAGACTCCCTTATAGTCGTGGAATTACTGTAATTTGCTCTCCTTAAATCTTTCCCACAAAATATTATCTGTATGAAATAATATTAAAAAAGGTTCAGTCATTTTCCATGAAACTGCCAACAATATTAACATAGCAATTGATTATATGACCTGTATATTTTCTTCATGAACAAGAGGCAGCCTTCCTCTTGCCATATAATATGGTTTGCTACACACACCTACATAGATCTATTAATTTGTGACAGACTTACACTTTGAAAAATTGCTATATTTCCTTGGTATCCACAGAGTAATTGCAGATGCTTTTCAAGAACCTTAAGAACATAAGCTGTTATCACATTGCTTTAATTCCAGCTTCTGTTGTATTCTAAAGAAGCATAGACTTGCAGGGAAGACTATTGGACTTGGGTCTGTCATTGTTACTGCAGGGTGATAGCACTGCTTGCCTGCTTGCTGCACTGCTGTAGCAGGAAAATGTCATGCTGAGAGGAAACACAGCTGATTCTAAAGACAGATCTACAGAATGGACTTTTATGGACATTAAAATGCTGGTGATTACAAGAATCTGCTACATGGGTCTTATTGATGCTCTTGCATTAGCTTTTCAAAAAACAGCAGTCCTGAAACTTGTCTGCAGTCACACTGGGGTGCCAGAAAACCTTAGGATAATTCTAAAGGCATGGGTTCTGGTATCTGGAAACAAGGCTTCGAGGATCAAGAATTTTTATAGTTATAACTAGTTACGGTGTAAGGGAGAAAGAGAAACAGCCAGAAACACAAGTAATATCTGGTTCCTCTAAATAAATAATTAGGAATTAAATTAAATATTATATTTTTAAAACGAGGAATGGAAAGAATTATCGCTAGAACGGCGAGCAAGTAGCAGAGTTACAATTACTCGGCTTTTATCCCTATCTCCATCGAGAGTCAATGGAATAAATGCGGTTCCCCGCCGCCACCGGGGGGCGATACTCTCCCAAGTACTTCGGGAAACTGGCTCAAATTGCACATTTCGGGCTGTCCCGGTGACATGTCAGCATGAGCATGGCTCTATTTAAAGAGGTTTCTAGAAGTAAATTTTAAAAGGTAAGAATATTTTTGCAGCTAACTTTTAGTCACATTCCTAGAATTCTTGAACCTTGACTAAATTAAATTTAAAAATTAATTTAGAAATTAATGTGTTTTAAAGAACTAGAATGTTTAATATATTCTCCTTGATTTCAGTTAAAGAAGATTATTATTAAATATCTTATTCCTGCTTAGAGCTCAAAGATACTCTCAGAAGTCGGTCACGTTCTTAATTTTCATTGTCAGTTGTTACCATTAACCTAACATTAGTTAATACTTCCCTATTTATTATCCATATACTTTTGAAGAAATTTGCAATTTGCTACTCTTTGACTTAAAGGAACAAAAGATAAAAGCCTTCCAAATGTTCAGAGTATATATAACTCTGTGTAGTGTAGTATAACTCGTATAGTATAGTATAGTATAGTATAGTATAGTATAGTATTGTTAACCACTACTGTTCTTCAGTCCTTTAACCCAAACATGTATTTCATTCCCTGTGAGTGCACTGGCATTGTATACAGGATGAAACTTCATTTCCAGCTGCATAAAGTGACTGGCTAGTGAGTATCTCTGAGTAGGATCAAAGAAATCGAGAAATGAAAAGGGAAATACCTGTCATTCAAAAAAAATTAAAAAGGGAGTAGTAGCACTATAAAACACAAGTTTGTTATAAATCAAAACCCCAAAGATTTTGCCATTTACCTTTCAGTTTCATTTACTGTAAACTCTTAAAAACTTCACTCCAAAAATCCAATAAGGGATTAGAAAAATGGGCATTTTAATCTATATGTACACACACTTTTTCAGATTGGTAAAAACACTCTGAACAAGTTATGGAAAGGACAATTATATTTTAAATACCCAGTTTCTTATTAAGAGAAAAGCATTCATTACATGCTTTATAACTCTCTGTCTTTTTACATTAGCAGTGTATGTGGCCTAGGATCAGGAATAATCAGGTTCAAACACAATTTCAAGTCTTTAGCAATTAGTTCAGACTTCTGGCATTCATAATGAAACTTGGTGTATATTGATCAATACAGCCTATTTAATTAATGTGAAAGATATAATTTGCTTTTGTTGTTCCAATTCCATGCACATTTTCAGAACAATCTCTGATAGGAGGTATCAAGATGATTTCCTAGGCACAAGTTTTATGACACTGTCTAAAAATGTCTGTGCCATATCTCAAATTATTTATTATCTATCCCCATAGTTTCTGTTTTGGACTGAGAACTATGGTCTGTCTTGGAGCTAGTTTTCATACTACTGACATAGTTACAGGTTCATGTCAAAAATCAGAAAGCTTTATGTCATTCACTCATTGCTGGTTTTTGAAATTTTCTTGGTGCATGATTCTCTCCCTCTTCTAGGGGCACTTTAGGGGAAAATGTAATTGATTATTGTGAGTCTCTCTCAAAGAGAAACCCCAGTGTTATGACTGATATGTGGTCACCAATACAAAAGTTACAGAATGGGGACATTACTCCACCTTGATTAAAAGGAAGTCTTCTATTATACGGCTAAAACAGCTCCTGTTCTGCAACTCTGAATCTGATCAGTCAGATGTTATTAGAATAGGTGTTTCTTTGATAATGTTCTGATAAACATGAGGCTGGATGCTGTGCAGGATTTTGGAAAAACTTGGACATTGATTTCCTACGATTAGTCTGGATTTGCATCCCTTAATGAATGCAATGCAACCCCTACTTCAAAGGTGTTACAGTGTGGGGTTTGGATTCTCTAAGACGCTAGGAAATTTCAGTTCCTATGTCCTTGACTCTCCTTTCTGCTACTGAGTGTATCATTCAGAGTTATACATAAAAGTTAAATTTCTGTATAAAATCCAGAACTGCACTTGTACAAAAGAGTAAAAAAATCTTGAAAGAACTAGCCTTCTTTTTCTCTTACAATTTGAGATATAATCTCTCCAAATAACAAATATAAGTTAACACTTATAGTATTAGGGGTTTCTCTGAAAACCTTATACTTATAGGTATTAGGGGTTTCTCTAAAACATAAACGGCCTCCTTCAAATGAATCCTGGAGCAAGGAAGGAGCACTCTAGGTTATTATCTGTAATATGGGAAAATTATGTCACTTGTACAATGTTTGAAGATAAAAGGAAATCTGGAATCCTTTGTGTTTACCTTGATGATATGGAGGAGAGAAGAACTATATAAAAATTAAAAAGCAAATCAAACAAAAAATCAGAAGAAAATCCCAAAACAAATAGCAGTGAAAGATCAGAATTGCTTGCTCTTGTACTCTTCTGGGTTGGTATAGTTAGGGTGGGTGTGATATATGTTACTATAATAAAAATAAAAATAAAAATAAAAATAATTTATTATGGTGACATAGATATAATTAGTTTCTTTTAATGCAAAGTATTAAGTTATGTTTTAACATACCATTACTGTACTCTAATAAAATGGGAAACTATTGGACACATAGTGTTTTAAGCTAACAAAATAACCCAACAATTATTCTTTGAAGAGCTATTAATTGAAGGTCAACTTATGGTCTAGTATGCACATGCAAAGTAAGAGAAAGGGAATAAGAAGTTTCATCAGCTGTGTCAATACATTTCTGCATTTCTGTTGAGCTCTATAGGAGTCTCTGGAGTACTGCTGAATCTAGGGGGTAGCTCAGTGGGTTACTGTCAGACTGACAGCATCTTCACTGCTGTCCAGAAAGGCAACATAGGATAAGAAGATACACTGTGTAAAAACACACATGATCCCTATTTAAGAACAGAAAATTTAAGTAGAAATGTTAAACCTGTGACTTAACAAATCTATTTAAACCTAGCTGGATTAAATTCTGGATAAATTACAGGCGTTTAAAGCCCTACACTTGTCAAGTAAGTGGAAGAGATTGGGCAATGTCTTCTCCCTGCTTTCCTCTGTATGCACAGCCATTTGGCATACTATGTATCTGTGCTAGGGAGAAAATGCTTTCTATGGATGCAGAAAAACTGCCATCTCAGAGGGATTTAGATTTGATATTGGAGTTATGGTAATTCTCATGGTGTCTTGTGCCCTTAGAAACAAATCATCCTAATGGAAAATCATCTTAAAGTAAGGGGCATGCAAGTTTCCAATAGATTTATAAATTGCTTTCCAGACTCCTCACAATGTGTACAATATTTCATTCCTTTCACATTTTCCTCCATGTCAAATTGAGAGGAAATGTCAATGTCCTAATACTATTTGTAGATTCCTAACTTTTAAAGGGATTTTTTATTTAATTTCAGTGTTTTAATTGCCTTGAATTGAAAAATTAATTTTAATTGAATGTCAAATTTCATCTACTGGTATCTCTAAATGACTTCTTTATTTTCTAAACACTATGTTCTTATTGTCTCTGTGGTATACCTAAGAAGTCAAATTGTTAGAAATTTCCAGGTCTTCGACCAGGCTCTGTGACAAAACTTCATCATCTGCAATTTGTTACGGTCTCCTTTGAGGTTTAGACATATCTGGCCCACAGAGTCTAAGACTCAGAAATTTAGTCTTTGAAATACAGAAACTACAAAGTGTAGCCAATTAATT